GCCGGTCGTGATCCGATAAGATTCGAGAAAGTCGAATAAAATTCAGTCTCCCCATCTCCGAGTTGTTGTTGTTCTTCTTCCTTCTATCTTCTTCTTTCGTTGATGTTATTAGAAAGAGGTATGAATCAATTTTGTTTTCTATGTGGTATTCGGCCAATCGTAGAGAAGAAGAAATGCATTCTTTAGTGCAAAGAGGACCTTAGGTGCATTATATCAATGCACATATTGTTATGAAAATATTTTTACTGAAAGGTGAAAGAAAATGTAGCTTTTGGAGAAGAACTCCTAACTGGTTTGCGTAGCATAGTGGTAAGGTTAGGTTCGATAATTGTCTGATCATAACGCGTTGTCTGAGGAGCGATGGTTCAAGGCTCAGCAGAACTGCCAAGAAGGTAAAAAGGAAAGGAAAGAAAAAAACCCCGAGGAGAAGTTAGGAACGAAGGGGAGAAGAACGTGAGAAAGGAATGGAGGCGAAAAAGCTGCTTTCAATCAATTTCTCTTTTATTGAAGCAGTAAGTACCTATTAGTAATGTATATATGTTAAACCCGTGGGAATAAGTCATTGTCTTTAAAACAGTGGGGTGCATACATAATTAATGAATTGAATGCATAATTAATGTATGGGGTTATATGGTACTCTTTCCCATCATTCATCCAAGGGGGCTGGTTTTGCCTCTTTACTCGCCTGTTTTTCCAAGGCAAATGCTGATCGAGAACCTCATTGAGCATACTCTCAAGGGCATTCAAAATATCGTCAATGTCTTCAAATACGAATGCAGTGTCCCAAGGGATACGTTCCAGTGATTGAAGGAGCTCATCTAAATTCAAGTTCTTTGTTTCCCGATAGGAAATTGTCGTATGTTCTGACTCACAATCTCTTCTTTGTTTGGCGTATTTACGCTGAATAATTAGAGGAAGGTGGTCCGCAAGTCCAATATTTAGGACTGATGTTTTTACAATAAATGCTGGATGACTTGTATAGCAATGATCTAGGCATGTACCACTCTTAGGTCTTGTAACAGAAGAAATAACTTGGTTAAGGGCCATGTTTTTCAGAGCTTTGGCCAACCTATGACTATTGTAGGCATGATCCAAATAGTTAATATTAAAATCACCTACAATAATTGTCTCACGGTTCTGCAGATAAGCATTTTCAATATTCTTCTCGATCCTCGAATCGATGTCAACATTCGAAGAAGGCGGACGATATAGAGCACCTACTAGAAGCGGTCTTTTCGAATTGAAGGGGAAAATGTCCAACCATAAAGTTTCAATCTCCTTCTCTTCCAGGTCAATGCGGCGGTTTTCTTTCAGCCTGAAGTTGACATAAGCTAGAATTCCACCACCGTGTTTTACTCCGGGTCTGTCCTTTCTGTACATCACATAGCCAGGAATTTCAAAAACAGAATCTGGAACTTTTGGTTTTAAGAAGGTCTCAATCAGAAATAGCACATCAATTTCAGGGTGGCTTGAGGTTAAGAAATGTCTTATCTGTTCAAACTTGGAATCGATCAATCTGTTGATATTCCACTCGCAGATCTTCAGGCCAACATTCGTTTTACCTTTACACTGTACATTGATTTGCTTGCTTTTCCGTTGAGCAATGTCTTCATTTGGGCCAGGGTTTGCCTCAACATCACCACTTAATATTACTCGCCGTGTGAGTTGGAAATNATAGAATTTTCCAGAATTTACGGTAAACAAGTCAAGTTTCTATAAATAGACATCACGTATTCATGTCGAAACCACTGACTAGAACTTTTCTAAAGGACTAATCAAGAACGTTCTAGAAATCCTAGAATATTCCATAAATGTGCTGAATATCGTGTCTTCTGTCCAAATATGTCTACCCACATTTATCTAAGGCCCTGTTTACAAGCAAGGAGGGTAACCCTTGTGCTAGGGTTATCCTAGCAGGCGGGTCAAAGATAGCCCGGGTTTACAAGCAAAATTTCACAGGTAGGTTTACCCTACCACCCGGGACAACTTACCTATGCTTGGTAACCGCACGCATTGTTATCAATGTTCAAAGGGTCTGGAACCAAGTAAAACGTTGTCTCGGGTAGGCGAGTTATCCCCAGTAGAGCGTTTACAAGGCAGCTAGGGTTACTCTGGCGCTAGGGTAACCCTAGCACTCAGCTAAGGTTACCCTGGTGCTAGGGTAACCCTAGCTGCCTTGTAAACACGTCGATGACAAAAAGGAGAAATGTGGGAGCATTAGGGTAACCCTCCTGCCAGGGTAACCCTAGCACTGGGGTTACCCTACCTGCTTGTAAACAGGGCCTTAGATTGACATACAGCTGCGATTATTGATTGCTTTTATGCAGGCGCGAGGAGACGACCGCGAAGACCGATTTTTTATTTGCTGTTCCTCAGTTCGAGTTTTTTCGCTTATGACTTCACGGCGGATGGAAAACCAGAAACTGCGAGATTTAGGCGTTTAAGAGAAAACCATATTTCGATGGACGAATGGCTCAGTCACGCTTTCCACAAAGTTAACCTTGACCTCGCTCAGCCGGCATCTATTTATTTGCTGCTGCGGGTGCATTTGTAGAAGCTGTGTAAATGAAGTGTGAAAGTATACAAAAACAATAAGTCACAACATGTCTGGAATTTATCCATATGTAATTTCTGAGTTTTCTCTAACATTTCACGACATTTAATTTTTTTTTAAACTTACAATTTTTAGTTTTTTATGGACCCTCGACATTTTACCCTCGACACTCGACATTTTACCCTTGACCCTCGATCCTCGACTCTCGACCAAAACCCAAACTCGTTTTCGCGACACCCATATATTTTCTTTCTCACGCCTCTAGTTCTGGCAGAGGGAGCCCACACAAGCGGCGTGTCTGATCGTTTGTTCGAAGTATAAAGAAATGTATGGGGGAATATTGAAGAGTCGCAATATCGTAAACTTATATGAAAGAATGTCTATGTTAAGGCTCAAACTAAATATAAACCTACCTCACTTGCTGTGTATTCTCGTTTCTGTGGTTCTAAATGGCGAATTTGAGCGATTTGGTAGATTTTGCGTTGACTGTTACTTTACTGTATAAGAAGGAGACCTTCTTATACATTAGAGTAACAGCCTCCTTTGTCGTTCAGAACGAGGTTCTTACTCATTAATTACATTCGAGATATTGTGGCCTATTAGCTGCTTAATTTTTTTCATATCTACTGGAGCCGTTTTTTTTAATAAACTCATTTACATTTGTTGAAAACACTTATAATAATTGCCCTCATATTAACTGCAAAAATTTAGTGCGATCCATCTATGGAGAGACGAGTTCGTTCCACTTGTAACCTCGTGACACTCTGCAACTTCTTGTAGGATTAGATTTTTGTAACGCTGTCACTAAAGCACTATCAATCATTGCATTTATGCTGTGTGGAAATTACGCCTAATAAATTTTGCTTGACGTTTTAAAATAATCATTTGAAGGCGAAGGATACAATTGCAGTGTGAAAAATTGCGTCTGCGAAATTTGTTGACTAATTTCTCTTTCTATATTGGTGCTTAGTTAAAGAGTCGACACGACATGTTTAGTTGCTGTAAACTAAGGCAAGAGGATTATTGGTAAATTGATGACCTCATGTCTACACGACTAAATCCTCGACGTTTGCGTAGAACTGCTTGCCGCAAATTTTCATGTTGACGATTTTCCGCAAAAGAAGCAACAATATTTTGAGAGGGTGATATAAATGGCAGTTTTAAATTTAATTTTTAAATAGCATTATAACAAATTACCGGGATTTTGGGGAACTAAGAGAACACTTGCTCGTGATAACAAAAGGAGATCTTATATTACTTCCCAGATCAGAAGACGTCATTTCGTTTTCAAACTTTCTTTGTTCAGGATTAAGAGTTAAAAGATACAAAAGTGAAGTACGGAAGCCGAAAAGGGACAATCCAAAAATATTTTGCAAATCTCGAAAAATATTTCAAATCGCAATATTTATTTTAAACTCACTGTCGCAAACCAGATACAATGAATATATGAGGTTCATATATATTGAACTGCGGTATTAGATAGTTATGATGCACGATCCACGCAGTAGATAGCGCTATTCATGCAATAGCGAAAATCAGACCTGAAAAAATTCAGGCCTGTACGGGATTCGAACCACTGACCTCTGCGATACTAGTGTAGCGCTCTACCAATTGAGCTAACAAGCCAACTGGGAGCAGGCCGTTAAGTTGATTCGTAATAAACCCGTGAAAGTGATAAATCAGTANTAGGCTCAGACTATTCCTCCCCCCCACGTCTTTGCAGTGCATGATTCTTAGTTATATCTTAGTTAGGCTCAGACTATTCCTCCCCCCCACGTCTTAAGGTCCCCTAGCCTAATTCTGCTGACCACAAATTTTATGCTATTTATTCGTATATTTTATGCTATTTAATCGTATATTAATACTCAGTTATTTATTATTTATTTAAATTATCTTGTTGTGTATTTACTTAGTGGTTTTATTTCTGCTATTTTATAATTGACACAGGAATAAAGTTCATCATAAAAGTTCATCATTTGTTGCAGTCTGTACAACGACAAATAATCGTCTGCGCTCACTTGAACCTTGCTTCAGTCTTATTGAGAGGTCGGTGAGATATGGACAAAGATTGTTAAAAAAGTCACTTCGTTCGGTGGATAGAGGATATTATGGTAATGGTGCATTATGGGATGTACGCGGTGGCGTGACACCTGCTGATTTTTATACTTGAAACTGAAACTTGATAAATTATGTGAAGAATTCGCGGAAATGTTGACAGGTGTAAATATTCGCAGGAAATCTGACCGGGTAATCAATTAATGGAAATTTTTTTTTTCTTTAGTTGGGGAAATAAGAGGCAAGAGACAGTATGTGAGATCTGAATTATTTTTGTTAGTGACATCCCCACCCGGCTTGTTGGTAATGAGGACACTTCATAGCACATCCTGTGACGTACCCTTATTGGATATGCACAAGCTGCAGCCAAAGTCCATAGCGGGCTCCAATGCTATAAAATGAGAATCAAATTGTTCCAGCGATCAGCATACTTCCCTGTTTATTCCTCCACTAGAAACCGTGGTAAAAAGACTTCTTGATGAGTACAAGTTATGGAGTTGTTCTCAGTAATATGGTATTCGTTTTTGCTCGTTGATGTTCAGCTTCTTGTCTGGAAAGCAGGCGAGTATCTTCTCTTAATTATTCTTACCTTGGTTGGAAAAGGAACGCAGTTCTGTGAATTGGCGAGTCAAACATACTTACAACAGCTTCAGTTCACAACTCAAACTTCTTTTTGTAAACTGCCACGCAATTCATGTAGTTGCATAATGCTCGCAAAACTCAATAAGAAGGAAAAGTGATTTAGGCACGTTTGGCTATTACTGCTACTGATTCAGTATGTGTTGTGTTACGAGGGATAAATTTGTGAACGTCAGCAAATTTAGAAAGATCGAGTTTCCACTGATCAATGCACCATAAAACTTGAAGGGAAGGTTTTTCATCTGATGAGAGTAATATATACCAGCCACAAAAGTTTTTCACAAGTGTTTGACAGTTTTTCATAGAGAGCAATTAACCGTTTAAATCAGTGAACTACGTTAATCCGGAGATATAATCTCAAAATAATTTCACTGAGGCATCCATCGGCGCATACACGTAATTGAAATCAAAACTTTGGAAAGAGTTCAATATAAGCCCATACATTAATTATGCATTCGTTTCATAAAAAGTAAATATAAAGGTTTCTTTGCAACACTCTATGCATAATTAATGTATGGAGTTATATGGAACTCTTGCCAAAGACTTTCCCTTGCAGAAGTATCTCAGTAGATGTGCTCTGCAAATTATAGAGGCTTTGAGTAAACATTTTTTTCATTTTTAATTGTACTTTTTAATGTTCAAATTAGTAACTTGTGTTGTAAAAGGGCCGCTAAATTTGCAGAGCGAGCAAGCTATGAAATATCGTACGAAAGGTGGATGGGCAGAATGGCAGAAAACC